AGATCTATAAACTTCTTTATTTTTTTTCTGCTAATCTTGCATCTTTAAGTTTTTTCATTCATCAATTGTAAGCAGATTCCTAAATATTAATCATCTTAATACCAAGACTATTAAGACTAAATGTATAATTAGGATTGTGTTATAGCGCTTAATGGAGAACTTTTTCTGATTTATCATATTGCTTCATTAATCTTAAACATTCTCCTATTAATGTAACAATGAAGAAATCTACCTTTCTCACTTAAAGATCTAACATTTTTTGGATCGATAGCTAATGCTTTTTCCAACCAAGTGATTGCATCCTTGTGATTACCTAACATTCTTAAACATTAACCTATTAAATAAGGATGATGCGATCTACCTTTTTCACATAAGGAAAAAACATGTTTTGGATCAATAGCTAATGCTTTGTCGAAACAAGTGATTGCATACTCATATTTACCTAACATCCTTAAACATGCACCTATTAATATAACTATGAAGAGATCTACCTTTTTCACTAAAAGATTTAACATGCTTTGGATCAATAGCTAATGCTTTGTCTAACCAAACGATTGCATCCTCATACTTATCTAACATCTTTAAACATTAACCTATTAATATAAAGATTATGAAATCTACCTTTTTCACTTAAAGATTTAATTTGTTTTGGATTAATAGCTAATGCTTTGTCGAACCAAGTTATTGCATCCTCGTCTTTTTCTAACATCCTTAAACATGCTCCTATTATTATTCACATTTTTTAAACCTTTATAATATAAAGATTCTTCTTTATTAGGATTCATTAAAATTGACTTATCTATTTATTCTAGAGCCTAATTATACTTAGAATCAAAATATAATTTCTAACCTAAAAGAAAGTAATATTTAGCTTACCTTAATGGCATAGATCTTTGGCTAGCTTAATATTATTCTCATCACATTAATAATAATCAAATTATGATAATTACAATTATTCATATAAATTATTGAATGAATGATTTAATTTCTAAATCTATTCCTAAATGATTGTTGAAATTGATCATTTATATTCAGTTAACTTGATAGTTGAATTCAAATAGTCATTAATTTAGCAAGGATTTAAATTCTATAAACTTTCTCTTGCTAATTAATACTTATTTTTGATTCCTTTAATTAATTAGGAGAATTATTGATTAAGGCTTTCAACGTATTTGTTAAGATCATCAATTAAATTGTCACACTCTTTATTTTTATTTTCAATAAATGAAATCAAACTGTTAACTTTTTTTACATCATCAGAATGGGTATGATGAATTCCCTATTTAAAACATTCAAAACAATTTAAACGAAATCCGATACAAAACTCATGATAACAAATAAAATCAATCTCTTCCTTATGGTTATCTTCTTAACATTATAACTTCAAACTTGCTTATTTAATCATTTTTTTATATTTTATACTTAATTTATAATCGTTCACAACACGTATTCAATTATCCGAATTCTATTAAAATTAATTCGAATATATAATATGAATTTAATTATTAGAATTCAACACTAAATTAATTAGCTTTAAATTCAAACAATAATTTTATAAAAAACCATTCATTGATCTGCTTTCATTTCTATTTTATTTATATCAAATTAAAACAATAATATTTCTTAGCATTCAATGATAAATTTGTATTTCTTATCTCATTATGAACTGAATTTGTCATATTACCTTGTTTTATTGCTTGAAATTAATTAAATTCTTAATTTGTCAAGTTAACATAAGATACCAGAATAAAAACCTTCTGTTCTAATTTAAAGGTATCTTTTCATCTTACATCATCTTAGGTATCATAACAATAATTTGAACTAGTGGAAAAGGAATCTATCATAATATTCTAGCATTCACTTCATAGAAAGACATAAATCTTCCTTTTACAATTAAATAATATTTGCAATCATTTCTCTGATATATCATTCTCATAAGAAAGCTTGAACCGATTTTATGTTAGAATTTGATTGTTTGCTTTCGATTATTTCATAAGATATAAAACGAAATAACCTGATTATCATAAATTTTAAAAAAAACTTTTTTCATAATGGCCTTATTACCAAAATTGTAACTATAATCCAAAATTTAAACCTGAAATATAACTTAAT